TTGTACTCAAATGAGATGACTTACTTCCTAGAGCTGTTTATTTATTTATTTATTTAATCTTAATTACTAAACTCAGATTCAGCACCCTAATTACTGCCCATTTCTTTTTTTACTTCCTTCCATCCTTGAGAGAAGTCCTGCGTTTTCAGTGAAGATCACACTCTGGATGCTAGAAAGAGCAGGTCCTTGTCAGTGATACTAGCTGTCCCTCCTGACACCTCATGAAATGAATCAGAGCAGGGTACTGCAGATGGAAAGCCCTGGCCCCACTTACTTCTGCCTGCCTGCATGCTATGCAGGTCTCTGCTATACCTCATCCTGTGTCTTAAGCAACCTTTAACTATGCCATCTCATGGAAGTTAATTCCAGGGATATTTTTTTATTATTTCTCCTATTACAGAATACACAACTTAATAGTATATTAAACAGTTAACTCTTCAGGGAAAAGATTATATCTTCCTTTTAATCCCCAAAGTACTCAGGACACATTTAATGACCAGTAGAAATCATACAGAAGAATAGCAGCTATAATGTAAGCATTAGAAAAACACCTTTAAAACAATGCACTTTTTACCTGCATTTACTCGAGAGAGGAAGAAGCTTGTTATCTCCTTCCCAAAATATTAATTACATGAACTACGTTAACTATGCACCACCTTTACTCCCAGCAGGTATCATTCTCCTCCTTGTGCAATATCTGGAAATGATTCCTGTTATCCCTTACAATTATTATTCATAATTATATTGAATATTCATAATTTAATAGAGATTGAATTCAGTTTATTCCTTCTAAATCTAATCCTCACTCCTGTAAGCATCTATGTGTACTAGTTTTAGAGGAGACTGTCATGAACAAGTTGGGTTGAACTTGAAGTTCAACTTCTGTTGAAGTCTAGGTAAAGTAAGGAGAAAAGAAAGGGTCTACCTATGCCTTTCACAATGGCTTTTCTTTATGTACAAATGTGACTGCTTAAGATCTGAGTGTACAATACATGGATATAGAAGAGAAAGAGGAATTAATAACTACAAAGATGTCCTGTGTAAAACAGAAAAATTTCCTGAGCATAAAAAAAGTCCAATTAAACTTTGTGGAAATAGGACAATTGATTAAAGAAAAAAATATGTAATCAAGAGAATATGTGCATCTGCAAATAATAGATTTCTGCAAAAGGAAGACAGCCAGAAAGCCAGAGTCAATGATCAAGGTGCACTTGATATTTTAATAGTTTTCAAATAATCCATGCAAAAGTAGCTAAAATATGAAAGTTTTGCTGTAAAAGCTCTGTAAGACTTAACAGAATTTGAAATGAAACATCAGTTACACCTTTTTTCACAGGACTCAGAAGGATAGGGGAAAAAAATGGAGAGAGTCTTTTTATATTGCTGAAGAATTAGTTTTGCAGTTCCAGAAAATTGTCTGATGTTATGTAAAAGACACGGTCATGACTTAGATCTATGTCAGAACAGTTAAAAAAGATGCAATTGGAGAAGATAGAAAAAAAGGCCTTTATAAAACTGTCAGAATTTTCCAGGCAAACTGAAACTTCTGGAGAGAGTCTGGTACTTTGACCCTGTGGACATTATAAAGAATCCAAAATACTCCATGAGTAAGAGCTCATGCAGAGTGAAGTGGGAGTCTACAAAAACAGCACATAGAGTTGCTTGCTCTGTGGCAAAGCCAAAACAAACCAGCATAATGCCTGGCATTTGGAAAAGGAGGTAAAAGAAACTACTGTGTATTAGATCACTGTAAGCACAGCACAAACAACAGCGTAGTAACAGTGCCCTTTTCCAACAGGAATTTTTCAATGGCACAGTGTTAGTTCTGCAAAAGACGATAAATGCATTATTGGCCTCAAATCAAATGTATGATTCTCAATGTAGAGAATGTATGTGTAAGTAAATGTATGAATAAGTAAGTGAAAAGACAAGGTTTAGCAAATATATGGGGAAAATAATGTATTTGGTTAAAAATCTCACTTTTTTTTTTGTAAAAGAAGGTTCCCTATGGAATGACAAGAGCCCACAATAACTGAAGAGAAGTCTAAGAATATCTTCCAGGGTGACAGAAAACTCCTAACAGATCAGAAAAACACGAGTGAAAGTACACAGCCTTCTGATGATTCATTAGAGCTTCAGTTCCCTTTTCCCAGGCAGAATCAACAGAGAAGCTGAGTAAACATGCTGCTCTGCAAATCACAGAATGAAGGCTCAGTGGCTGCTGAGCTTTTACTCTGTAAAAAGAGCAAAGACAGAAATCTTTGTCCTGTTTCTACCTCTGAACCCCATTCCCATTATCACCAATAGCAGGTAGTCCTAACAGGTGTAAGACATACCTTTCTTTTTACTTCTGATTGATTGGTGAATCTGTAGGCTTCTGACAGATGTTCTGCACAAAGTGGGGGACAGAATACTAAACTAAGAGGAATTAAAAAGGAAATTCTACAGAATGGAAAAACAAAATAACACAAGTAAATATGATAAAATAGACGACAAAAATGTTTGCCTTAGTAGACAGGAACCAGGTTGAAAGGCTCTTTGGAATGCCAGAGCATTAGGATTATTTTTTATTAGAGTAAGAAAATGTAGGAGATTGGGGATTCACACAAGACTCAGCTGTTCTCTGGTCATCTGTGCAACTCATATTACACAATACTTATCAGCAAGAGCTCAAACTTTGTAAAAACTACGTCCACAGCAGGCTCTTTGGCTTAGAAAGATTATCCAAGAAGGCACTGAGGATGTAATCAAACTGCTTTCTACAGTCTCCTTTCCTCTGCACTGACAGGCTGCTATTCCAGTGCTTTTCCATCTCCATCCACACAACTTGTCATCTTTCCCTTTTCTTTTTTATGCCAACCCTTTTCCTTCGTCTTAGCTATGTCTGTTTCATTAAACCCCACCAAAGAATTTAAGGAGCAAACAAAAAAAGAACCACATTACCACTGTGTTTTTCATGGCCTTTTCTAGCTTTTTCCTTTTCCTGCTTTAACCCTGTAGATATGAGCCCTTTAGGACACATAACATCTGGAATTCTTCTCAGACACCTCCTTGTATTCAGGAGCTCTTGGTTCCTTCAGGTTTTCCACCTTTCCATGTTTTTCTAAAAGAATTTTTAAGGAACTGCTTAGTTTGTAAAGTGCTATCTCCTTCTATAATACAATTAGATGAGAAAGTGAAGGTTTTTTGTGTAGCTTTTTTTCCCCCAAGTATGTATGCAGTCATAACAGTTTTGAGAAAAGCTTAGCTGTATGTCTGGGAGATGAGTATGCTTTAATGATTAAAGCCATAAATCAAACAAAAAGAGCAAAATTTATTCTTATCATTTCTCTTTAGAGGTCTGAGTCTTGAGATTACAATATAAGACGTTATTGTTGCAGGACTATGATAAAACAACAGGTAATAGTGTAACAAAAAGCCTAGGAAATTAAAGAATTTTTGCCAGGTCAGTAGGTTGACTTTTCAGTGTAAACCCCAAAGACCACGTGCATCATTAGAGTTTTGATGTTACATAAGAATTCCATCTCCAGCTGGCAAACAAGGTATTTTTAGGCAGATAATAATTTGCTGATCAGTTTTACAGATTTACAATTTGCTTCTAATTTTGTCAAGACTCTTCAAACTGTTCTCTTAAAGAGACTGGCTTAAGAATACTTAAGAAGTACTGACTTAAAAATAGCAACCCCACAGCACAATCTTCTGAGTGTCTTCCAGACTCATACAGCTTCAGAAGACTGGACTTTATTCCCTCAACTCATGGCAAAATCAAAAGCTTTGGTAGCCTCATGAAGAAGAACCCTACAGCACTTCCTACCTGATTGCCATGCACTCCCTGAGCATTTTGTCAGATCATATTTGGGCAGAGCATGCCAACAAGTCTTCCAAAATCCTCCTGAATTGTGAATCCTCCTTTTTGTTTCCGGGAGTAAATATTTGAGGTAGAAACCAGGCCAGAGAGAGGTAAATGGCCAAACTCCCACTCACTCCAACTGAGCCAGCATCTATTCCTGTCATACAGTGAGTTTTGTTTTTCTTACTACACTAATGTCAGAGGTGTTGCAGAAGGGACCAAAGCAGCTTTGGAGCAAATTTTGTGCTTTTTTTTCCCTCTCTGAGCAACTCTTTAAACTAATAGTCATGACAGCATGGTCTGTAGGTATTATTACAGTGCAACATATAATAATAAATATAACAGGGTCAGTATTCAATAATATACTTTAACAGAATCAATGTTTGCAGAGAAAACTTCATGCCACATATGAAGTCACATGGACAAGGGAAAAGACTTCAGCTCAGGAAAATGAGGAAGGAAGCTACTTTTTCTCTTATTCATCATAAATTGCTGTGAACTCTTTAGTCCTGATTAAATGGTGTCTTTGATACCAGATTTATTTGATCTTCTTTATTTTCTCCTTCTTTCTTGCCTCTTTTCTTGCCTCTCATTAAATACCTTAGCACCCATAACAAGTCATCCTGGAAGCTGTGTGTCGATAGGCTCAGGATTTTTTTACTGAGAAATGGTGATATAGTTCAATGCTTTCTTTCTTGTTTTTGTAAATTTATTTTAAAAAGATATCTTTTTTTTTCCCACTGCAAAATGAAACATAGAAACATAAAAGAGGATGGATTTTTGAAAAAGAAACACCAATTCTTGTGGCTCTATTCAAGTATTGCCCTAAGCTGTCATATTTCTTTCCTCTGCCTAGTAGCTCTATACTAGCAGCACTCTAAGTGCTAGCTGTGGTCCAAGGCTCAAACGCTTTCAGTACCTTGATGTTGTTTTTCCTCCTAGAATTTCTTGCTCTGCACAAAGTTTGTATATATGGTTACCCTTTAAAAAGATGAATATAATGCCCTATCATGCCATTTGTGCTCTATTCAGGCTATTTAGCCCATGTGGCGCAATGTTGCCTAACATCCCTTCCTCAATAGCACTGCCTGCAGATGTTTTCCCTAGGTGTTTCTCCTCTAAGTTCCTGTTTTCACTGACCTCCAAATCCCCCCAAGTTTTTTATATTATTCTATTTTATTTTGATTTTAACTTTCGTTACAAGCAAACCATAAGGGGCACATTCAGAGAAAAGTAAACAAGAGCACTCCAAGGCTAATAATTTCTTTCTCCAGGTCCAGCACATAATGGAGTTATTGTGAAGTGGAAAAGGAACATGTGGGTATGGCTTGCCAGGTGTAGTGCTACTATGTTATCCTCATCACTTGCTGTTGCTCTGGGAAACTGTAAAATTTTGCTTGCATATTATGTGTTTTATTTTCTTTTTTTTCCTTTGCAGCTACACAACAGGGTGAAAAATAATGCAGACTTAAAACAGCAAGAGCAGGGACTTACACAGCAGGGGTGTAAGTGGGAAATGGAGTTTGAGTCCAAAAAACGTTTAGAACCACAGGCTTGTAATACATTCCCACCTAACACCACTGTACATACATTGCCACGCTGAATGGTGGCATTATTTTCAAACACCCTTGGTAGATGCGATCATCTATAAGTGAGAACAATCTTATGAATGTTTGAATAAAGCAGTAATTTTATATATTTCTCTGAGATAGCACAAAAATATTCAAGAGGAAACAGAGACAAAGCAAAGCAGAACAGATTAATCCTAGATTAATTCTAGTTCTGCTCTGAAGGAGTCTTAGCAATGCTGTTAAAAACAACTAGTCACTGAATATTTACATTATAGGTCCAAAAGGAATGGACTTAGATATCTATGAAAAAAAATCCATGATGAAATCAACAAAAAGTAATGTAATTACCAGTAATAAATACAGTTATACTATTTATGAAAAAAGGCAAAAAAAAAAAAACCCAAAAAACAACAAAAGACGCTATTTTGCATGATTTAAGCTGTATCCTTCATCATGAAGGATTGTGTAGGTAGCTTTATTATACTAAAGCTGGAGGATACATTTACTTTCAAATTCTGGCAGCAGCTACTGTTAGAAAACCACAACCGATGTGTCCTCGTGGCATGTCTTGTAATATTGCTTCAAACAGAACTGTATCCATAGCTTCCACTGGCCAACAAGGCCATTATTTTGGGAGAGGCTTATTGTGGGTGAAATACTCTGCTGAACTGTGAGTGACCTCTTCTACCTCCTCTCACAAATGTGTTGCTAGCTAGCATGAAAAATTAAAAACAGATATGTACCGCTTTATGTGCACTTTTGTGAAATGACCTACAGCCAAAATGCTGTTTGCTTTGCCTGGGATGAGCTGCAAAACGAGTCCTTTGGGGGCGGGGGGGAAACATTAATACAATTTTGAACTATCTTCTTGTTTCTCTTTCAATTTTTATGAGAGAGATGCTGTCACAGACACTGGCAGACTTCTTGATACATTTTAACGCTTAGCTGATTGCTGAAAGTTTTAAGAGATTTTTTTTTTCCTCCAGGAAACAGTATTTTTATAATAAAAGTTTTGTGTGTTTCCTATATTAAAATACACTGAATGTTAACTGCAATAGAAACTTGTGGTATAGCAGCAAGTGCTTTCTTGTAAGCAATAGGATGAAGTCAGTGACCAAAGCTATTTATTACTATTTATTAATATGTCTAGAAATAAAAATAGATAAATAAATGATGCTATCCATATTTTTATAACCCCTTTATTTCATTCCTTGCACAAACATGCAACACTGCAAATTCTTAAGGGAAGTAGACAGCAAGCAGCTGGAATGAAAAGATTCATTGTCGTATTTGGGGTATGTGACATCCCTTCCATTAGACACATTTCTCTTTTGACATTCATGGGACTTTCTTTTTATGTCACAGCTGGTTAAACAATAAGAGAGTTAGCACCACTGTAAAATTTTCAGATCAGAGTACTATTAGTGGCATACACAGACCACCTAAGCAAGCTGTTACGGAAACTTCTCTTCCCTTGGGATAGATAGACAGATAGACAGACAGACAGACAGATAGATAGATAGATAGATAAATGTGGTAATGTTATTAATCCTATGCAAATGACTTCACAACTTTCAAGTGAAAGGATTGTGCTTCATCTTGGATACTGATTATGGTTCTCATGGGTATTCACAGAAGCTGCATGTACCTCAGCAACGAGATGCCACCCGTAGTTGTTCTCAGGTCTTTTTTTCGTCTTTCACTGCTTCAGAAGCCCTCAATATTTTAGTCTTGCATTGCATTTTGTGCAGCTCACTTGGTTGGCCATCAAAAATATACTATTAACTAGATATACTATTTTTTTTAATGTTTCATTTTCAGAATAATTTTCTTGGTGGTCATTTGGGATCTCCTTCTTTATTACTCCACAGGCATTGATCCTTGTTAACAACAAAATCAGCAAAATAAGCCCAGCAGCTTTTGCTCCTCTGAAGAAGCTGGAAAGACTCTATCTATCCAAGAACAACCTGAAGGAGCTTCCAGAAAACATGCCCAAGTCTCTTCAGGAGATACGTGCTCATGAGAACGAGATCTCCAAGCTGAGGAAAGCTGTCTTTAATGGACTGAATCAAGTGATTGTTCTAGGTGGGTGCATAAAAAAATATAACTATATCAACTCAGTACTCTGCAGAGTTTTCCAGGAGTTGCTCTTAGTTCTCATAGAGTGTGATTTTATGTGCAAAGTCAAGAATTGCTTCAATAAGTTATACCTCCATATGAACTTTGACCTGGTAGGCACCTGAATTTTGACAGATAGAGAGGTATATGGTACAGCCTTACTCACAAATGTGTTTTCTTGGCAGAACTGGGCACCAATCCACTCAAGAGTTCAGGCATTGAAAATGGAGCTTTCCAGGGGATGAAGAGGCTCTCTTATATCCGTATTGCAGATACCAACATTACTAGCATCCCAAAAGGTAAGAACTTCAATGAATCTTTGTTAGATTTCTCCAGGTAAAATGTAGTAATTTCTAGTTATCTAACTTAAAAATAAAGAAGAAACTTAAAAGCCTTTTGCACCCGTCCCTAAAGTATTCATAATTTGACTACTAGTAGAAGACAGTTTTTTTTTTTTTCAGTTGGCTTTTATTGTTTTGGCAAATCTTATTTTTTCACTATTACAAGCTCCAGAGGAGGTGCATTTTCAAAGGTAAACCTTTTTATGTCATATTGTTTTCTTTTGTCTCAGAGCCAAAATATAAAGTGAAAGAATCTTTTTGCCCTCCAGTCTTCCTTCACTAACCTGAACAACATTATGCAGATATAAACCCATGTAGTGGGTTTGAGCCAAAAGACCATTCCTGCACAAAACAAAAACATTCACTTTTTTAAGAAGTACTTCATTTTAAAATAAAAACATCTTCAATATAACCTTTCAAAAGGAAAGACATACAAAATGATGATCTAGAGGAAATTATAGTCAATTTATTCATACTTGAGACAGGAGATTGTTTTGAAATAGCTTTACCTTTTTGAAAGTTAATATTAGTTGTTTTTTCTTCCAATGTTTCCTGTTTTGGCTGTTCTTTTGAGGGAGCTCAGACAGTGAAAAAATTTGGTCCTGATAAATTTTCGGAATAGTGGGTGTTCTACGTAAGAGAAGGTTAAAATGTTTTCCCGCAGCTTTATTGTTATTTTATATTATTGTTAGCTAGTGTTATTTTTTAAATGCATTGGACCGAAATGTTTATAGATTTATGCATGTGGATAACCTGAGTAAAATGAAGGCTCTTTTTCTTACATTATTATATATGTCCCATATGTCCCATTTATATAATCATGAAGACCAAAATTAATATCTGTGAAGGATGTAATTTATCTGTTTTTAAGAACTGAGTTGTATGCTGACCTAGAACTAGGTCTTATTTCATTTCATTCAAAAAAAAAATGCTACTTGAAAAATAATTGTTTTCAGGTTTCCTTCATTGTGAAAGTTCTTTGTTTAAATTCAGTGATTTTCAATGTACAAAGTAAACAACTGCTCTCTCTTTACTGATGATATTTCAGTGTTCATTCATTCATGGAAATTATCTTGTCTATGCTTGGTAAAAATTCTTCTGTTGCTGTAAAAGAGTCTAACACCCGTCAAGACAACTAAAAAAATAATAAAAAAATTTACCAAAAGTAATTTGATGAAGTTATCTTTCAGGGCTTCCTCCATCCCTTACTGAACTTCACCTTGATGGCAATAAAATCAACAAAATTGATGCTGACAGTCTGTCTGGACTCACCAACTTGGCTAAGTAAGGATTTGTTTCCTCTTATCACATATATACAAACAAAACCATAACTACTACATAAACAATTATAAAATATTCTAGACTTCAGTAGAGTATTTCAATACATGCTTGATGTTCAGATTTTATCGCAGATTTATCCTTGCTCAAAAAGTGGTCTGCTCCTGGATTTTCATGAATAAAGGAAAATTCTGAAAATACAGATTAACATCTTAGAAAATACAGATTAACATCTATAAAAATATAAAAAATAGTATTAAGAATATAAAATATTTTCCACAGTAATTATAGAAGAAGGAAGAAACCTTCCAAATCTAAAATGAGATCTTAATAACTTAGATAAAGAATATCATTTCCTGGACAGCTGGTAGGTCAGCTGTCCTGGGAGTAACTGAATTTTCCTGCTCTTTCACATTAATCCTTGGAAAACAACACAGACACAACATTGTTGCATATACTGCTGACCAACAATAGTAGTCCCCTCAAAGCACAGGTAGCCTTTGGGTAACAGGTCATTTTATTGACTGTCTGTGCTAATATGTTTTGAACTGTAAATTGCTTCACATGAGACATCAGTGGAGAACTGCAGAGTTTTTATTCACTTTTGAATTCCTGACTTCTAGTAGACCAACTGTACTTGTCGTATTTCTTTTCTCCTCATAAAATTACCCATATATAATACCCATATTCACTACCATACTCCTTCAAAAGTCTTCACATAGTGCTGCAGTGGAAAAAAAAAGTAATGAATGTAAAATGAATGAGGACTCTGCTGGTTTAATGAAGAAGGAGCTCCCCAGGAGAGTAAACGTATTACACAACTGATGTTACTAAACTCTAGAGTCTACTAAAGTTTATTAAAATTTACTTAAAGAAACTAGCTACATACAGCAGAAGCTGCATCAAGTCCCGTATAAGGATGATGTTCAGCTGCATGAAGATTGTTGAAGTGCATATGAGAATGTGCATATATATATAAAATATATATACATATTTTTATGTATAGATAATATTTATATAGAATATGCAAGAGTGATTTTCCAGCTTCCTGCCTTTTCACTTCCACGAGGAAAAGAAAGAAGATGGAGACCATATCCTTTCCTAGCACTTTTAGTCTACTTTACACACAGATACTTCTTTATTTCTTTTGTAAACATACCCTGGAGTAACGTAGAGTTCATTTGGGTTCTCTTGTAAGAGATTTAGATGAGATGTAATTAAACATAATTACATACATATACTTGCACTGCTTGTGAGAGTTAAGTCCATTTTAATTCAGATTCTTCCAG